GTGAAAGAAGCCAGACAGAAAAGGCCACATATTACAGGATTTCATTTGTGTGAAATATGCAGGATAGGCAAAATCCATAGAGACAGACAGTTGATTGGAGGTTGATCCAGTGGCACAGAGGAGAAATTGGAATGCTCTCCAATCTGGAGACTGCTAATAGAGTTTCTTTTTGGAGGATGTAAATGTTCTAAAGTCATAGAATGGTGATGGTAGTCCAGCTCTGTGACTATACTAAAATCCACTGAGTTGTACACATTAAAATGGTGAGTTTTATAACATGCAAATTATATCGATAAAGTTGATATCTAAGGAAAAGTGCAGAGAATTTATGAAAGCTACGTATTTAAAACATTTTGCCTCCCTACATTGTTCAATTGTGGGTGTGTTTTTAGCACGATTACTCAAAGAATATATGATGTTTCACAGAATATGACAATTTTATAATACGTAATATAAATGATAAGAATAAATGTTTTTAAATTTTGTTTTGTAATTTTTAAATTAAATGGTAGTCATGAACATATGGAAGTTTGGATACACCATTTACCATCCAAATGACCCTGCCATGTGGACCTAGTTTCAGCAGTTTACAAAGTAATATATACTGCCAGCTACAAAATGTGATTCTTTTTTTTTTTTTTTTCTAAAAAGATGACCGGTAAGGGGCTCTTAACCCTTCACTTGGTGTTGTCAGCACCACGCTCACCCAGTGAGCGAACCGGCCATATATGGGATCCAAACCCATGGCCTTAGTGTAATCAGCACCGCACTCTCCCGAGTGAGCCACGGGCCAGCCCCAAAATGTGATTCTTGACCAAAATTTTTAATTTGGAATATTTGGATCATTTTAAATCTGTTTCTGAAATGAGTGTGTCCATCTTATTAATTGTGTAAATTGTAGTGTTTGAAGTTTTCGTAAAATGCAACCACACTGGGTTTTTGTGGTTTTTAACCATTCGTTCAACAAATATTTGATGAGAACCTCCCATGAGCTGAGTTTTGTGCTCAGGAGCCAAGTATGCAGAGGTAAAGCAAACAGACATAAAATAGTTGCTGACACTTATTACATCCTAGCTCTATGCTGCTACGTAAAGGTTGAGCAGCTTGCCAAGTTATCCTGAGCCAGTAAATAAGCAGTTTCTGGGGTTTTTTATTTGTTTGTTTGTTTTTAATTTAGGTTAAGGTAAACCTTTTATTTTATTTAACTATAACTTACATACAGAAGACTGCAGAAATTGTAAGCTCACGGAATTGTTATAACATGAACCAACTTGTGTAACCAGCATCCAATATAACTAGCACCTCAGAAGTATTTTTCTTGTCCACTCCCAGTTACTAGCTACCCCCAAAAGTCGCCACTCTACACTTTTTAACATTATTGATTAATGTTGCCTGTTATGAACTTTATTATATAAAGAAGTCTTACAGTATGTATATATATATATATTTTTTTTTTTTCCTTTTTTTGTCTTTTTTCGTGTCCGGCAATGGGATCGCAACCCTCGATGTTGCTCCCACACCTCGCTCAGCCAGTGAGCGGGAACCGGTCTGTATGTGGGATCCGAACCCTTGGCGGGAGCGCCACCATGCTCCCAAGCAGCGCACTGTAGCAGTGCGCCACCGGGCCGGCCCACAGTATGTATTTTTTGCCTATGACTAATTTCGCTCAGCACTATAATTAAGAGATTAATCCATGTTGTGTGTAATTGTAGATCATTCTCATTGCTGAATAGTGTTCTATTATTATGAATAGTTAAAATTTATTGAGCCACTGTACTGGTGATGACATTTGGGTTGTATCCAGTTTGGGACAATTGTTAATAGTGCTGTTGTCTTTGGGAAATAAAGGAATGCATTTTTGTTTGGTATGTACCTAGAAGTGGAATTGCTGGTTTGTGCGGGAATGCATATGTTCAGCTTTGGCTGACACTAACACATCGTTTTCCAGAGTGATTATCCCTTTTTACATTTGCATGAGTAGTGTATGAGATTTCCATTTTCTTTACCTTTTTAGGAATACTTGATGTTTCTGTCTTTTTATTTAGCCATTCTACTGGGTGTACAGTGCCTTTTTTTTTTTTTTTTAACTTTCTCAATTTTTTTCATTGTGGATTAAAAAAAACCCACATAACATAAAAATTACCATTTTAACCTTTTTTAAGTGAGTAGTTCAATAGTGTTAAGTATATTCCAAGTGAAACAGGTTTCCAGAGCTTTATCATCATCTTGCAAATCTCAATCCATATACCCATTAAACAACAACTCTCTTTTACCCCTGGCAACTACCATTCTACTTTCAATGAATGTGACTATTGTAGATACCTTGTAAGAGTATAAGAGGAATCATACAATATTTGTCCTTTTGTGACTGGCTTATTTCACTTAGCATAACGTCCTCAAGATTCATTTATATTGTGATAAGATTTCCTTTTTAAGGTGTAGTAATATTCCTTCGTATGTACATGCCACACTTTGTTTAATCCGTCCATCGGATGATGGTCATTTGGGTTGCCTCCATCTCTTGGTTATTGTGAATAGTGTAGCTATGAACATGTGTGTGCAAATATCTCTTTGAGACCCTTTTTTCAATTCTCTTGGATATATTCAGAGAAGTAGGACTGCTGGATCTGTTTTTAATTTTTTGAGGAACCTCCATACGGTTTTCCATCCATACTGTTATTTGTAGGAGTTGCACCATTTCACAACCCCACCAACATGTATGTAGTGCTTTTGAATTGCGTTTTACTTTGCTAGATGATTAATATTGTCAAGTATATTTTCATATACTCATCATCTATTTCCATATTCTCTATTGTGAGGTGCCTGTTCAATTGGGGGCATTATTCTATTGCATAAATTCTTTATGTATTTGGGATATGAATATTTTGTCAAATATGTGCATTGTAAATATTTTCTGTGACTCTCTTACTTGCCTTCATACTTTTTTTTTTTTTTGGGGTGACTGGCCTGTACAGGGATCAAACCCTGGACCTTAGTGTTTTCAGAACCACGCTCTAACCAACTGACCAATCTCCCCAGCCACTATACTTACTTAATCTTCTGCTGGTCAATGGTTTTGATGAACAGAAGTTCTTTATTTTAATATGGTACAACTTTAAAAATTTTTTCCTATATAATCAGTAAGTTTGGTAATGTTTTAAAATGATTTACCTGCTCCAAAGTGATAAACATGTTTTTTCTAAAAACTTTGTTTTACCTTTCATATTTAGATCTACAATATAACTCAAGTTGATCATGTGAGGTAGGAGTCAATATTCACTTTTTTCCCATGTGGATATGTACACAGTACCATTTATTGAAAAAACTGTAATTTTTGCACTGATAGTCACTTTCTCTGTCTTTATTTCTTTTTGGGGTTCTTCTTGGTTCTCAACATTACCATATACATTTTGGAAAAAGTAGGCCAATGTATACACACACAGAAAAACCCACCAACTTCTGATAGGGTTTTGTTTGGTATTGCATTGAATCTAGAGATCAATTTGAAAAAAACTCTTCATTATAATAATGCTATTTTTATTTTTTTAAAGACTATTTCTATAGTTTTCAGAGGTCTAACACAGATTTAATACTTAGACAGCTTACTGAACACAGACCTGAATTTAGAGACTTGGCTCCTAACTATTACGCTTAATTTTCTATTGTTCACTGAAGGAAATTTGGAAAAATACCAAAAAAGTACAAATGCTATTGATAAAAACCATTTTAGCCTTTCCCATACAAAGATATGATGGACATAAATTTGTTGATTTGACAACTTGAAAATTAAGTGGTATAATTTTGTTTGATGCTGTATATAACATTTTGTATTTGAGGTTATTTGCAAGAAAATGTGTTCTTATTTGGCTATAGAAGGACATATAAATATAGAAAAATTTTAATATAAATAATTGTGTTTAGGGGGAAGGTCCTAAAGCCAACTCTACTCAAGGGATGCCTTGGTAGCAATGATTGTTAACCATCTGGAGTGACAGAAGAAAGTGATATTGGGTAACTAACTTCTTAAGAAGTTTCATCTCAAGTTTATGTAATATTCTTGTAGCAACAAAAATGGAATATTGATCATGCTATTGGTTGCTCCATTTTGGTCACATGGGTGAGCAGTTTTATCAAATCCTGATTATGTACTGATTAATGTGGACAGTCTCTCTGCTCTGTAAATTTGTAATGTACAGAGGGAGTTTTAGACACTATTGGATGGTTTTATGTGGTGGTGATATTTCTATTTTTTTGTTTTTGTTTTTGTTTTTAAATAAACACTAGAACCACTGGGCAATATTTTAAATATTTCTGAAGCCTTTTTAGCACCCCAGGGGATATGAAGCAGTATAGGATAAATGGGTAAATATTCAAAGTTGTGTTTTGCATTCACCAAGTTAGCTGGGCCACCTTAGTCTTAAGAATAAAATGGGTATGATGCAACCTTGTGGTAGCATGGAAAAATCATACAAATTGCAGGGATATTGTTTTATATATTAATTATTCTATATAGTGAAATTAGTCACCCAAGGGAAAACCTATAACTTTCCTCGGATGGCCAAATTTCAGTGTTCAAGTTTATTTTTAGTGTTGGGAGTTCTTGGTTATTTCCATCTCACTACATTTGTCCTGTTGTGACATCTGTGGACAAGCAGAGCAGTTAGTTAAGTTTTCTACTGGGCCCTCTGTTGTCTGTTGTGCAAACTGCAACAACAATGAAATAAAACACTGCTTTGTGGTACTTTTGTAAATAACAACCACATACCATAGATTTCTGTTCTGCCTGTTGTTTATTAGTCATGTAAGCTGGATACTCCTGTGATGAGGTGCGTGGAGGCAGCTAGTGAGACAACGGAACGTCTGCCCCACCTCGAGAAATAGTAATTTAAAAAAAAAAAAAAAACTAAAATATAATCATACAGAGCTTTAAAAGGGAATATCCATTGCATTTGAATTTAGTATACTTGTTTTCCATAGATGAATACATTCTGCTTTTGCAGATTTTAAGAAGAAGCAGCGAAGAAGAAAAGGTTCTTTGTCTGGTCCGGGAGCGTCCAGGCCACCGCTGTTCCTCAGCTGTGATCGTGGTACTCATCATGGTGTGGGAAGGCATTCCTCTCCCGATGGCAGACAGATTGTACACGGAGCTCACCGAGAATCTCAAGTCATACAATGGTCATCCCACAGACCGAAGATGCACCCTCAATGAAAAGTAATCAAATCTTTTTTGTACTGTTTTGCCATTCAGATCACTATTACAGCACAGTAAACTGTTCACTACCAGCTAAGTATATTATATTGGAAAACAGGATTTTATGTATTGTGGAACTGAAAAGAATGAACATTTCTCTAAAAAAGAGGTTGGTTTCAGAGTGAGTTAAGGGTATTTTAGAATTTTTGTTGTTGTTGGGCTGGCCCGGTGGCGCACTGCTATAGTGCGCCGCTTGCGAAGCGCGGCAGCGCTCCCGCCCGAGGGTTCGGATCCCACATGCAGACCGGTTCCCGCTCA